AGAAATGGGTGTTTATAGATGACCGATTTGTGAAGTAAATAAGACAAGAGTATAGCTCGTTCTGGGCCTTGTTAGTGTAAATTGCTACTTTTAATAAATATGCTTTTGAATATTGATTAACATATCTTGAAATACAACTTATGCCCAAAAATTACTAGTACTTCATTTTCAATAAACAAAACGTCTCTACTAAAGTAAAACAAACATGAAAATCCTCCAAGCCAAAAATTGTCCATGATTTCCAATTTACTAGCCTTATCATTAGGTGTGGCTAGGGTTCTCCAAAGCAAATCCGAAGAAAAGGAGAAAAACATAAAAATGATGAAGATCCTTCCAATATCTTATTGCAAAAAAAAATTAAAGAGTTTTAGAATAAAGATTATTTAACAGGGTTATGAAATAGATGATTCTAATGAGAGTGATGTGTTTAAGATGAATTCAGAGATAATTTATCATTAGTTACTAATCAATTTAGCGAATAAATTTATTATTGGTCACTTAATATTAATTTAGCGATCAAATATGTTAGTGATAAATTCTAAAAATTTCAATCACAAACGGTAATTTTATAAATCTTTTTAATAGCTAATTTTGTCATTAATTTTTTAGTCAATAATTTGGTGACTAAATGATTATTAATTAAAAGTACTTGCAAAATTGGTCGCTAGTCATCACAAATTTGGTCTCAAATCAAGTAACTTATAAGTAGTCCCTAATTATTTTATATAAATAGTCACTAAATTAGTGTGGTATACTTAAAAAGTGCTCGTCAATTTATTTGATCAATTTTTTGGTTGTTGTAGTAGTTTTATTTTTTACATTCTGAATTAAATATTTTTTTATAATTATGAAAAACACCTAAAATCATATATATGATAACAAATATTTATTGAAAGAAGTAAAATTGACACTATTGTATTACTTACAAAATTTATGATAAAAAATGGGGGGAAAAAATTAAAGTCATGAAGTACCCACTACACGTGCATATATACCCAGCACAAAAGAGCAACATTTTTAGGTTATGAGCACAATTCAACAAAGTCATGAATATGTGACATTCAAAAATCAAAATGATATAAAAATGTTGAGAAGTTTTCAATCAGCCTTCAATACCAATTTCAATCAAGAATACAATAACAAAAATATACACCATGAGCTCGTCAGTGTCATCGTGGTTCCGGAGCCTCAGAGAACATCCCAGATCATTTTATTTGTATGTTTTTTGTGGTTTATTATTATGTTTAAAAATAACCTTATGTAATTTTAATTTAAATTATAGATAATTTTTTTCAGTTTCTTAAGTGATGCTTGTTAAATTTAATTGGATTTGATATTTTCTAAAAAATAATAATGATATTATATAAATTTAAATAAAGATAAAATTTACAGTAATATAAAATGCATAGTATGTAAATATTTAAAATTCAAATTAATTAAGATTACAATAATTTTAAAATTTATTATATTTTAAAAAAAATTACTTCAATTTAATACAATGTAATAGAAAATTTAAAATATAAAATTTAAATTAAATTAAATAAAGGAATAATTTTTAAAATAATACAATTAATTGAAAAAATTTAATGCATAAGGTAGCAAAATTTACATAGTGCAATAAAGAATATAATAATCACTAAAATATTCCCATTTAAAATAACCTTAAAAAATATTTTCATTAAAGAATGATGATTCTGATTTAATATGTACAGACAAATTTGATGTAAATTTTAAACTTTGATACAATAAGTATAAAATTAAATAATGTTTATTTTTTAGATAAAACAAAATTTAAATTTATGAATTTGAACATAATTTTTAAAATTTATTATTATAATCAAACAGTGTATATAAATAAAATAAAACTATGTAAAATTATATATATATATATATATATATAATGAGATCTAATGTAAAATAATAAAACACTGTACAAGAGAATGAAAATGGAGGCCACAAATAGAATGAAGATTTTTTTTTTCCCTCTGACATGTCTTGTTTGCAGAGTAGCTGTCTAGAAGTGGCATTAATATTGAAGTGGCATTTATATTGAAGTGGTGGGAAAATGATATTTTGCCAACGCTGCCTTTCATTGCATTGTACTCAATTTTTCACACAAATAGTTCCAAAAATATTAATAGTGGTACCTAAACATAAATAATAGAGGTTTAGATCCTACAAATGTCAACCCAAACAAGCAACTTTATCTTATTTTAATATTCAATGTGTAAAATAATTGTTTGACTTATAATGTCAAAACCTAATGATTTATAGTTCTCAAATTCATTCCTTATATGTTGTAGAAATATGTTTACTATATATGTTAATTTAACGCGATAAAATTAGGAGTATAATTAGAGTTTGAACTTGAAATTGGATCTTTGAATTTTAATTACGATGTTCAGAAATTTTCCTAGAAGTGAAATCATAAGTTTAGGCTCCAAGAGATTCTAACATAAATAAATATAACATTTGTTTTTAAACTCTTACCTCATGAATTATATATAATTCCTAATGTTATTCCTATGTTACACAACTACTTCCCTTGTTACATCAATCTATCGTTTACACAACCATTGCTATTACAGGTGATGTTTTTTAAGCTTAAAAGTGACATTATTATTATTATCACTATTCTTAAACTATTAATTGTCACTACACATAAATGAACTAATCTCCTCACTACACTCTTGAAGTTACTACTACAACTTCTATATCATCTCAACCATTACTCCTCTTTTTGTTATTATTTTTACCATTCTCTCACTTCACCACTATCATTAACCTTAATTGCATTGCCGCATAATTTTTCTCACAATTATCTTTTTATTTTTATCTAGATTCAACATAATTTTACTCATGATTATCCTAATTTAGGGTGTGAAAATAGAATTAAAATTTTACTGAAAACTATAATTCTGTGATTTAATTTCTTGCATGATCCAAATATAAAAATTATAATTTTGAACCAATTCTAATTCAAAGCATCAAACGAACCCAGTAATTTTGAAGGTTGCATTAGAATAATTCACTTAAACAAAGTAAAAGCATTGCTTAAATTCAGAACCTGGTTCTTATAATCCCAACCCTATACTTAATTCTATAACTTTGCATTATAGTCTGATTTTTATTGAGGAAAAATGATATACTTTGATCTTTTAAATTACAAGCATTAATTACTTTAGTCACTGACTTTACAAAATATTTACTTTAATCATTGACTTAACAAAATAACATTTATTTTAGTTATGTAAAATGACAATAAAAAATAACAGGAAAAAGAACTAAATTAGTAATTTTTAAAAAATTAAACTCTAAAATGAATTTTTGTAAAGTAAGTGACTAAAGTGAACAACACTTATAATTTTAGAGACTAAAATAGTATTTTGTCAATTCTTATTTTTAAACAAAAATGTTTATAAAATCATCTTAAATGATAACATTTTTTTAAATTAGTTTTCTTTCTCATTATGTCTTGTGACTTTTTTTTACATTGAGCATTTAATTTTTTTATTTTATCTTAATTAAATTTAAATTTTTCATACCTTATTTTAATTTAAAAATTCCTATATCTTTAATCTTATTTGATGTAATCAACAAAATATTTATGATTGACGATTAATATACTTAAAAAGATTTTAAATTTATTAAATATGAATTTTTAAAAAAATCATACAAATATTTTCAATTTTAATTTTAAAAATAATTTAAATTTAATAATATATGTGCAATGTAAGAAACATAATTGGTTATTATTATTGTTATTTTTGTCAGAAATTTAGCCAACCATATCATGTCATTATTTTCAAATTTTAAAAAAATAACACCGCACACACTCCCCCAATTAAATAAAAAGATTTGATGATTAATCCATCAACCAAACTTTGGGCGTAATTTACTATAAATTTCGAAAACTTTTGGCATAATTTAAAGTTTAATTTTGCTTCGAACGACAAGATTAAAAGCATGGTATATGATTCGTTAAATGCTCCAATGGCCTCATAACCACACATCTGATGTGTTTTACTAACTGATCTAAATAAAAGAATCTGGCTCAATATTACAATGAAATATTTTAACAATATTTTTTCTCTTTTATGCTGTCAGATGATTTGCATTTGCATCGAAAAATCAGAATATGAAATATATTTGCAATTTTTAATCACTCCCATGATCATGCTACGGTGACCGGTTAATCTTTTGAAAATATAAATATTGACCACTGAGAATAAAAAAAATAAATAAACAAAATAAGAGAGTAATATATATTTGAAAAGTCAATTATAGGCCATGACAGAACAATGCTGATTTTGAGACAGAAGACAAAAGGGTATTCGTTAATACTGCCTAATTTGAGAGGATAATTGTATACCATTTTTTGTGTAAACCCTCTAATTATTTTAATCATGCTCAGGTACCAATTAAAAATTAATTGGGAAATGAGAAACAAATCAAACAATGATGACGTTGGGTAAATAGAGAAAGATAACACTAAAATGATGGAATGTTTTAAGAAAGAGGAACATATATAATTGGGTGAAGAACTTTGAAAATTCTATGTAGTTTTAGTCAATATTGGCTCTTAAAAATGGACATAAGACAAACATTTAATTAACGTGCAAGAAAATTAGACCATGTAGTGGCTTGTAGTTGTACTAGTACGTGGGTCTCTTAGTGCCAAGCAGGTCATGCACGTGCATGGAATAGAATACGACTCCAAACAATGACCTATTGGTCTCGTGAAAGGGTAATGGGGTGAAGAGAACAGTGTAGCACACCCCAATAGTTTGTCTTTAACTATAAGCAAAAGGGTCAAATAGAATAATAATAATAATTATGAACAAGCCAGATTTTGAGTTTGGTACAATAACAAAACCTTCTTTGCTTGTTTTTCAATTCAAAAATCAACCCAGAAGATCTGAAAGATTCTTTATGAAATCTGTCGGATCTTGCTTTCCAAACTGTCAGATTTCCTAGGTGGATTTCGTTATCTTCATGACCATGATGTGCACCCTTTTAAAATGTGCATGCTACCCTCATATGCATCATTGTTTTCATCATCCTTCTGTTACTATTCCTTGTTCTCTTCCCTCTTTTTCTGTCGTTATTCTTTTCTTCTGCCTTGCACTTGCACCTTATCTTCAAAATTATGGGCATGGCTGCTGAGTCACAGATCCATGTTTTGGCTGTTGATGATAGTCTTATTGATAGAATGTTGATTGAGAGACTCCTCAAAACCTCTTCATTTCATGGTATTTTATTTTCTCTTCTTTTTATGTTTTGTTATTTTGTGGTCTTCTCTTTTGCTGTAAAAAGCATGGACTTGGATTGCTATACTAGTATATTGCATTATGGTTAAAGAAATCATATAATTTTGTGATTTGTTTGGCCTTTTATGTTATATTCTGAAAGGGGCATGTTGGTATACTTAATTTGGTACCTAATTATTTTTGCTATGTTTTGCAATAATAGTCACTGCCGTTGATTCTGGTAGCAAGGCTTTGAAGTTCCTTGGTTTGGTTGAAGATGAGCAGAGAAATGAAAAGCCTCCCTCTGTCTCTCCAGAAACCCATCAGGTTCAATTCTCTTGCTATATTACTAGATACTAATATTATAATATGGTTTAACTTATTTTTGGAGGACAATGATCTATATTCTAACTCATTTAACTTTGCAGGATGTAGAAGTAAACCTGATCATAACTGATTACTGCATGCCAGGAATGACAGGCTATGATCTGCTAAAAAGGATCAAGGTAAACTCCTGGGATATTTTAGACTTCTAATAAAATGGCTTGTGTCACACTTCTTTATGTGATTGATATAGTTCATATTGCATAAGAGAATTTCATTATTGGAAGTTCAATTCCAAAATTTGTGTGCATCACAAAACTTTTGCTAAATATACTCAAAATTAGATTTGGCTCCTCTAAAGTGAGGAGATGTTTGAAGTGAGCATTTATTTACCTCAGGTTTAAAAAGTTAGTTATAAGCAATAAATTCTTAAATTCAAATCAATATGCTCATTTGCTCACTTTACTGCACATTTCTCAATTTAGAGGAGCTAAATCCCTCAAAAATTTATTTTATTTTTCCCTCTACTCAGTCAAAAAATTTGAATAGTTAAATATTTGAAATGATGGGATCTGATTTCAGAAATAACTTTGCTCTATATATATATATATATATAACACATTTTATATATCTTAAATGAGATATTTGCCAAATTTACAATATAACAAATCTCAAACCATTTCTGTGATAAGCAACATAACCTTTAATTGCTTGTGTCTTCTCTCGTTTGATGCTAGAAAAGTAACGAGAAGTTATTGATTTGCAGGAATCTAAATCTCTTAAAGACATACCAGTGGTGATTATGTCCTCAGAGAATGTCCCATCAAGGATCAACAGGTGAGGGTAATAGCAACACAATAATTGTTTTAAATTCACAAATTTTGAAGGCATCACATGAATGAACTTGAAATCTAACTAACAAGTATTAATTTTAATTTTTGTTATAATCAGATGCCTAGAAGATGGAGCTGAAGAATTCTTTCTGAAACCAGTTCAACAGTCAGATGTAAACAAGCTCCCTCATTTGTTTAAATCAAAAGCTAAAGATGAGGAAGAACCAACCCACCAATAACAAAGAAAAGGAAACAGAAGAAAGCCATTCCCTAGCCTAAAATATTTGTTATAGTTAAAATTGATGAAACATAGATAGTCCCTATAACATTTACCTCTCCTCTACCTCACCAACCAATTAGTGAGGAGAGTAGATGGTGGTTCAATCATACTAAAGAAATGTGTAGATGTAGTATAGGCCCCCGATGTAACTCGAGAAAGAATTTCATTAAAATTCAATTTTGTTTGACAAATAGTAATTATTATTTTAGCTTAGGGCCAATGTGAGTAAACATAAATGGTTAAGGATCTGAACTTTTGCCTCTTCCATGGGCACTAATTCACTTTGTAAAACTATTTACGGTTTAGGCCTCTGCTGGTCTCAGCCTTTTCGCTTAGTGGAATTGAAGGTACTATATCCTTGTTACCACTTTTAAAAGAAATGCATTCAAAGGTTTTTGCTATCTTGATTTCTTATTGTAAAAAGAATAAACATATGAAGGAAGATCAAAGCAAAGGATTTTGTTCCACTCAAATTTGCAATCTTATTAGACTCACGGCATCTGAAAACTTTGACTTTGATGAAAATCTGAATTAAACTAAAGATAAAAATTATATGATTTTATCAACAACGAAGCATATTTTTTAAATTTATTTTCTTACTTTTTAATTATTGATTATATCTCTGATTTTTTCACCCTTAGCTTTGTGTAGCCAAATCTCAACAACTGATACATATAATAATGTTTCAAGTTAACTATAACATAATTGGTTAGCTGCCTAGTCAACGTAGTTAGTTAGCACTGATATAGTTGTGCTCACATTTCTTTAGTATTTAATAATGATAATCAGATTCAAAAGTAGTGGATGCTTAAAAAATTGCTCTTAGCAGGTAGGGATTTTATCCATCAAATAAATATTAATCCCAAGTATAAACAACTATTTACAATATTTTTTTAAGTATGGGTGTGAGTATGAGTATCATAATAAATAATTTATCCACATTTGCATAATAAATTAATTCTATTTTGTGGTTAAAATTTGAAAGACTTCTAATTTATTATTTTTGTGTTATTTTATTGTTAAAATTGAATTACTTTTAAATATTTTTTTTATTAAGGTATACATTATATTTTTAATTAATTTGTTTATTGGATATTTTATCTTCATTGTTAATATTATGATAACAATAATTTTATATTAATTTATACAACAAAGCAATTATGAGAAACTAATTTACTAGCACGTAATATGCACATATAATTTAATAATTAAATAAAAATGTTTATACTTTTGTAAATAATATATATTAACTGTTTTTAACAATAATTTTCTTTAAAATTTATTTTGAATTAACTCTATAACTACAAATAATATATGCATCTAAATAATAAATTTTAAATATAATTTATCTTAAATTAATATTTTTATTTTATAGTGTAATTTTTTTTAAATTAAATGTAAATAATCAATATATTAATAAGTATAAGATTTTTAAAATAAGACTCTTAAAAATAAATTTAAAATTTAAAATAAAAAATTAAGATATTTTTGATAAGTATAAAAAATCTACGAATTTATATAAAGTAATAAAAGAAAGTTAAATAATAACTTTAATATTTAAATTTTAATCACAATAAAAAATAATAATATTAAATTTAGATATTAATTAAGGTATTCTGCAACACGCAAGTCCCTCAATTCCTCAGAACACAGTGAAGGTGAGCAAGTTCTGGAAATAATTTTTCAAATGTGAATAGTTGTTATTAAGGTATTAATTAAGAAATAAAAAATTAAAAAAATTTATTAGAAAAATATAATATAATTTTAAAATAAAACTTTCTATCTTTATTATTATTTAACTTATTATCCTAATTGTCCTATTTATTAAGATAATTAGTGACTAAAGCACAAGCTAAATTATATAGCCTAATAAGCTTATCTAAAACAGACACAGAAAAATAATTTCTCCAAACAAATAAATTAACATATTTATTAAAATTTTGATAGATTTTTCTCTATAATTTCAACATCTCACAAAGTAAGTTAATATATTAGAATCCATCTATAATTCATAAAAAAAATAAAATAAAGATTTAATTATATGATATCAATATTAAAATATCTATCACATACACCAATGCAAAAAAAATATTTTGCAACAATTTTTTTATATCGGTTAATAATTAACTGATTTAATAAAAATAAAAATAGTATTTAATAAAATAATAGAAATTATTTAAGATCGATTGGTAAATAATTAATGTAAAAATTACTTTTTAAATTAGATAATTTTTTAACTACCATAAAAAGTCATTTTTTATATCATTTTTTTCATAACTAATGTAAAAAGAAATTTAAAAAGTCAGATTTCAGAGGCAGCAATGAAACAAGATAAAAAAAAAAAATTCTTAAACAAAGTTTGGAGACAACTAACACTTACTTACATTCTTAAACTTTTGTTTGTGTTTTTGAGTATGTTATTGACAAACACTAATCTCGCTTTAATTTAGGTACATCATTGACAAACATCTTGAACTTCATTCTATTTTTTCGTCTTCATTAATTCATTTGTTTGGACATGATATTGACAAATATTGTGTGCTCTTTACTCATATACTTTAACCAATGTAAATCTATTTGCAATCTTCTTGCATTCTCAAACATGTGGATCAATTGGCGAGTTTACTTCAACTTAATTTGTGATCTCAAGTTTGCCTCAACTTAATCTATCCTCCAAATTCTTATGTAGCCAAATTGAGGTCTTCATCTAACTTAGGTAGATTTGCTATGAGTCTATTGCCTGACTTTGTTGTCACACTTGAATTAACCATTTGTTTCAGTTTCAGTTGCAACATAGACATCAATTTTGGATAAGTCCATTTTGACCATTTTTTATTTTGAGGTTGATTCTAAACTTCTACCACGGAGACATTATTTGGTTCCACATAACTTGAGCCAATATGTAGAGGATAAATGTCTATTTTCATAATATATTTTCTTCTCTTTTAAAGCTTCAACCTTCCCATTTTTATTGTGTTCTATATTAAATCCCTGAAATGAATACAATTGTTAGTCTAATAGGCATATCTATGATAATATTTACAATAATTTTCACTCTCTTTTTTAATAAGTAGGGATAATATTATCATCAATTAAGATACTTTGGCCATCTTTTAAGAGGATATCAAAATATTTGGTTAACTTTATTTATATTAGTCATATTTTCTTTAACCAAATTAGTTTATGTCAATTTCCTTATTTATTTGAGGTTTTAACAACTTGCATTCATAAGGAGGCACTAGCTTTAATTTAGCCATGCTAACATCATTGAATTCGACATCAACATCTTTGTCAAATAAGTGAGAAATTTGTATTTTGCCCCACTTTTATAGTCTATATATTTATGTTTGACCTTTATTTTATTTGGGTTGTATACTAATTCATTTATCTCACCTTAATTATTATAAACCTCTGGCCACATTCTAACCTGAAAAGACCTCATGACTTTTACTTGCATTTATTATTTAGTAGAAAGTCAGTTTATAGTCAAACCTATGATAGTACACTTTTTTTTAAAGGAACTGAGTGATATTTCCTTTTGTCCCTACAGACTTAGAGAGAGAGAAAGAGAAGTAGAGTACCCTAGTTTAATGTTTGAGTGAAAAGTTAGGGAACATAAGATTCTACTTGAGAAATCTTTTGATTACTTATACTCAATCATATTGGTCTCCTTGTTCTTTTTATTTCATATGTCTCGGGTTCTTTATTGTGGTGATATGTTTCAAGTTTTTCTTAGCCAGTACTTTGCTTGAGGACAAGCAAATCTTAAGTATAAGACAGTTGATAATTCTATATTTTGGCCCGCTTTTATAGACCATAATTGGAATTGGTAATGGGTGTTGTGTTACTGGTTGTGCTACTCTGAAGAGTTTTCCCATCTTAATTTTGGATGGTTTCTCCATCCAGGGTTATATCTATTTGAAGACAAGTCTTAATTTGGCTGTTGCTATGGTTGTTGAAAAGAAAATTTGTTAGTGTAAATGGTTGTAGCATAAGTTTGGGGGTTACATTCTGAAGTATCAGTTTCTTACAGTGTGGGGCAGGTCTCACAAAGCATGGCTAGAGTAGGTGCAGCTGAGGTCTTTTGCATTGATGCCAGTTGCTTGACTATGAAGGCAAGTTCATCAATCTTATGTTCCAACTTAGCTAGGTTTGCAGTTTGAATCTCATTCACACTTTTGGTCACACAAGAATTTTGTCTAGTGGCAAACTGCTGAGAATTGGCAGCCATGTTCTTAATCAAGTTTCTAGCTACTACTGGTATCTTGTCCATTAAGGCTTCTCCACTGGTTGCATCTATCATGCTCCTTTCCATTGGGTGTAGTCCCTCACAGAAGTATTGGATAAGGAGTTGATCACTAATCTAGTAGTGTGGCCAGTTAGCACAAAGCCTTTTGAACCTTTCCCAGTACTCATAGAGTGTTTCCTTATCTAGTTGTCTTATTCTACAAATCTCCTTTCTAATGGATGCGGCTCCAGATGCAAGAAAGAACTTCTCTAAAACGAGCCCCTTGAGGTTGTCCTAACTTGTGATTGATCTAGGAGGAAGATAATAAAGCTAGTCCTTGGCTGTGTTCATCAATAAGAAAAGAAAAGCTTTCAATTTAACATGCTCCTTTGGAACACCTTGTGGCCTCATGATTGAGCGAACTATGTGAAATTTCTTGAGTTGTTTGTCTGGATCTTCATCTGTAAGGCCATGAAATCTAGGCAACAAGTTTATTAAACCAGTCTTTAACACCAAAAGAGCTTCTATATCAGGATATTGAATGCACAAAGTTTGATAAGTGACATCAAGTGCAACAAGTTCCTTAAGTGTCCTTTCATTGTTAGCCATTTTATCAAATTCAGAGTCAAGAGAATATGAAAAGGAATAAACAGATGAGGGAGAAGTAGGACTATCTAAATGCTCAGAATGGGTTCTATATGTCCTAATATTATTGTAATGTCCTATCTATTTTCGGATCAAGTGGATACAAATCTCCAGACCTTGACCTAGTCATGCACTAAAAGCTAACTATGAGAATTTAAAGGAAATCTATTGAATAAAATGACTAAATATTCAGAATGTGTAGATCATGCAAAAAAAATTAGTGGAAACATGCAGCAACATGATGCAAAAAGATGAAATAATATAAAACAAAAAAAGTGCAGAAAATATGCAAAGATGTATGAAGGTTCCAATCTAAAAGTTCTGCATAATTCTACAGAATTATGCAGAAAACGTAGCAGCATAACAGGTCAAAATGCAAAACAAGGTAAATGTAGAATTTGAAAGCAAAAATATGCAGAATGCAAACTTCTAAGAGTGCAGAAAACAACAAAAATGTATACTAAATGCATAATTAACTATCATCCTCTCGTGAACATGGGGTATGGGATAATACAGCGAACGCAACACAACCACTAAGTTTAGAAAATAAATAGGGGGTTTTGTTGTTTTCAAATTTAAAATCACTCTAGTAAGGAATTAATTTAGGAAATTCAATTAATGAAATATATTAACCCCTAGTTCATCCATATTAGTTCTATCATAAATCCTCTTAGAATTAAATACTTCAACCTTTTCCAGAATTAGGTTAATTAGAACAAGCATTAATCAACCATAAATTCCCATCCAAAATTAATAAAATCATATGGACACCAATCCCTAGTCTTTAAGACCAAACCTAGAATTAAGGAAACCAAGTTTTGAACCCTTGTTTAAAATGAAATTGAGTTTGATTAAGCAACAACCTCCATTTTATCTTTAACTTAGTTTCAAGAGATTGAGGAAGATGGAATTCTTAAAAACGAATTTGTATTGGCATTAAACCCAGGATTTCAAGAACTTCTATGAACTTTACTAGGGATTAATAGCAAAATTTAGCCCTCTATGAGGATGGGGTTCAACATTACAAGAGGTAAGATTCAATAAAACTCAGGAAAATCAAAGTAATAATGAAAAGAGAAAGTAAGATGAAGTAGAAATTTTAACCCTAATTTGGAACCCTTAGCTATCACCCCAAGCTTGACCTAAGCCTCTGCAAATGTATCTAAAATGGAAAAGTATGTGAATGGTAAAAAGCTCCTATCCTAAAAAGTAAAAATTTTATTTATAGTAAAGTAACGCTTCCTGAAGTAATTACTATCACTGTTGAAAATGTTTACACGTAGCCCATTGCAACTTTTCCTCTCTATAGTGTTCACTTTCACTAGCAAAAGTGATTATGCGCAGCGCGGGTAATTACTATGACTAGCAGTAGTGAACACGCGCAACTTTGCTAGGTTGAATATAGATGCGCGTGTTTACTACGGTAACGAAAGTAAACACACACATCTCCCTTGCAGGCAATGCTCTCACGGGCAACTATACCTTATCTGGTTCTGCAACAACTACTTTCACTGTTAGGAGTAATTACTTTCACTTGTCCCTTGAAAATAGCTTGTTGTAGTGGTTTCTTTGAGCACTGAAAGTAGTTACTTTCACTCCATTTCTTCTCAAGAACCTAATTTCCACATATTTTATCAATAAATTCTTGCACAATTATTCGAGTGAGCAAAATTGTAAAAGATAATTATAAAATTAATGTAAATTGAAGCAAAAACAAGAAAACTATAATAATTGACATAATTAAAATTTTTATGGTATTTACAATTTCTAAATTTATTTTTCCATTAAAAATTATTAAAAAGGTAAGTAAAATATCAATATAATGTGGATTCATCATGAAGAAAAAAAAGATTAATGGGTAGATTGATAGACGATACCGAGTCACTATCAAAACAACTAAATTTCTCTAATAATTTTGCAGTATAGAGCTCAACTTAGGTTGATTCACATAGACATATCTTCAATTAAATTTAATTTTAGATTTTTTTTTATATAGCAAAGAAAGGTTAGGAATTTGAAAATTTTGAATTAGTTAAATAAAAACTATAAGCGAAATTAAATTGTATAAAAACAAATTAAGGACTATCAATCTACAGAATACCAAATGCGTGTAATTCTAATTATCATGGTATCTAAAGGTTTTTATTCGAATTGAATAATTACTCAATCCAATTATTAATTGAATCGAATTACTTAATTGAACTAGATCACAAATTAAATCAAATTATTATTTAATCTAATCAGAATTAATTACCAAACCAAAACATTGATCAAGTCCTAATTTGAATTCTAACTACAGAAAAGTTAATCACGACCGTAATACACAAATCTGAAATTAGAGAAAAAAAGAACGAACTTAGTCTAGATTCCACGTATTGAATCAGAGGTTTAGTCTTCTATCGAAGCACTTAACCCAAGCGAGAATGAGAGAAGATAAAAATAAGGAATCTTATTAATGGTCAAGTCTCAAAAACTCAAGCTGTCTAATCGCACACCCTAATTAGAACCTTAGCAGTCTATTTATAAGTTCTGATTAGGAAAAATTAAGTGGCCAAAATTTGGGCTTTAATAATATCTAAAAGCCCAAATATAATTATTAAATAACAAGGGTCTAAATGTAATCTTGCAACAATATTTAGCAAATCTTTCTCAATATAAAAAAAAAATCATAAGAAATTGAAAACAACTCCAAACCCAGTGATCCATATATGAATTTTGAAGCATTAAATGTGTAGAATCCAATGCAACTAGAATCAGCCAAAAAATATATCTGTGGAAAAAGTTATGGCCAAAAGAGTAGTTAGAGGTTAGAATAACCGAAAATACAAAATTAAAGTATCTATTTGTAACAAGCCCAATTTATTCAAATAAATAGAAAATAATAAAAACTCTAAATTAAAGCATATGAAAAGTGTTTATGAATCAAAATAAAACTATAAATGTAAACCTAAAATATGTTACATCATAGATTTTAATAGAAATGGAGGAGACAGTTGAGGAAAATCTGAAAGGTGGCCATAGGAAAACAAGGGATTACAGGAAGCTGGAACCTTTTATTAAAATAAAAATAAACAAATAATCCTATTAAATAGGATCTAGGGTTTAGGAGGTATGGGCTATAAATAGAAAGCTTAGATCATCAAAGAGAAACACTTGGAATACGGTGAAATAAAAATGAGAGAGAATTAAGACTTTTGGGAGAGCACGGTGAAATAGAGAAATAGTTACTTTTGAGAGAGAGGGATCCTTTTGAGAGCAAGGACAACAAGCAACAGAGAGAGATGAGAGAGTTGCAGAGAATCAACATTCCAAGAGCACTCAAAAGCACAAAGCTAGAGGGTTGAAGGGAAGATTTCATCATGAATCCTAAATCGTCACAAGTAGGAATTCCTATTCCCTTTTTTTCTTTACTTTTTATTTTTATTGTTGTGTTCCTCTCTTATCCCCCATTTGTTCATACAATATTTAATGTTTTTTAGCCCAAAAATCATCCCTATTTACAAATCCAACTTTTTCTAACCATAAAATGTCCTTTTCACAAACCCTAAAATATTTTTTCTAACTCTAAAATGTCTTTTTGTAAACCCCAAAACATCTTTGTTACAAATTCAAAAAAAAAAAACCTAACTTTTTCTAACCCTAAGATGTCCTTTTTACAAATTAAAAAAAAATGTAACTTTTTCTAACCCTAAAATATTTGTTTGCAAATCATAAAAAGTAATTTTTTTAACCCTAACAATTTTGCAAATTATAAAAATCTAGATTTTCTAAACCCTAAAAATTATTTTCTTTTTGTAAATCTTAAACACCCCAATTTCTCTGTATATCCCAATAAAAAGTAATTCTTAAATCAAATAATAATTATTTTCTCGTTATTTTTGTTCACTCTTGCATTTGTTTTTTTATTATTCCAAATGTTTCTTTTTTATGTCCTTGTTGTATACAAAAAATCCAACATTAACAGGAAATTTTGGTTATCTAAAAAAAGGGGGTCTTTTGAGTCCATGTAATAGTCAAGCAATTCTTGGGAAAGTATTTTTCCCCATTAAGGTCCTCTAATCTTATGATGAAAATATGTTGCTTACAATAATATGAAGCAGAAATCTTGTTTGAGGCATAAGAGCAATTTGGAGAGCTTTTGAGAAACTGTCCTCATCATGATTTTCCAACATGGAGACAGGTGCAAATCTTTTACAGTGGTCTATCAATCAACAACAGGGTTACTATCAATGTCGTAGCAAGAGAGTCCCTCATAAGAAAAGATTCAGATGATGAACATAAGCTAATAGATGAGATGACATCTGCTAGCTTCTAGTGACACATCACTAACTCTTATGACATTAAGAAGAAATAGACCATCCCAGTCTACTAAACAAAGAGCAGCAACCCACTAATAAAATGGCAACCCTTGCAAAGCAATTAGAATATTTAATGAAGGCTTAAGACCAACCTATAAAATCTCTTGCAAGTCTAGAATTTAAGCAAGAGGGAGGCAAATTTCATAGGCAATCTCAACTCAGGGTGGCAAGGTAACACTTCTAACTCTTAGGGAAATGACTTTGGAAGCCAAAATTCAAGTGTTTATCGTCCTCCCAATATGCAAAATGAAGGAGCAAGACTAAAAAAAAAAAAACAAGTTTCTAGATCTTAGTCTAACTTTCAAAAGCAAATGATGCAGTATATGCATTATTGTGATGAGAAGATGATAGAGCTTGAATTTAAGTTGGACCAACATATTAAAAGAAATGATAAAAGGTTTGGAGAAATCAAATATGAAATACGGACCCAATCTTTTAAGATGTGGGCACAATCTTAAAAGCTTAAATCACAATTAGAGCAAATTACAAACTTTCTGAGTCAAAGAGTGATGGAGACTTTACCCTCTCAACCTGAACCTAATCCAAGGGAGCAAAGCGACGCCATTACTCTAAGGAATGGGAAGAAGGTGCAAGAATCGCAAGATAAAAGCACATGCACGCCCATGCTTCAAATCAAGCACACATATGCTCCTCCTTTAGTCATGCCTTTGCCTGCTCAACATGCCCCTGCTTCAATAGAAGCACGACTATGCTTAGCAAGCACGTCCATGTCAATGATAAAAGCACGGTCGTGCATCCCCATGAGCAAGGTTGTGCTTCAAGCACAGAGCTTAAAAAAAAGGAAGAACCTCTTGTGCAGCCAAGACTCTATGAGCCTAAGATATCTTTTCCATAGCGGCTGTAGGGTCACCCTTCTTACGATGAAGAGTTCAACGTTCTTAGACCTATTAGGCAAAGTGCACATCAATATGTCTTTCATCGATGCCATCTCCAAAATGCCAAATATGCTAAATTTTTAAAGGAAATTTTGACCAATAAAAGGAAGCTAAGAACACATGAAATTGTGAAGTTCACTGAGAAGTGCTCAACTATAGTCCTTAAAAAGCTTTCACCTAAGCTTAAGGACCCAGGGAGTTTTACCATTCCTTGCACAATTGGAAAAACTCATATTGATATGGCTTTATATGATTTAGGATAAAGTATTAACCTGATGTCTTATTCTATTTTCAGGAAGCTTGAAATTCATAAACCTAAGCTAACTTCTATGTCAGTTTAGCTGGCAGATAGGTCGATCATATACCCTAAAGGCATAATGAAGAATGTTCTTGTAAAAGTTGAGGAGTTTATATTTTCTGCTAATTTTGTGTTACTTGACATGAAGGAGGATGATGATGTCCCCATCATACTAGGGTGACTGTTCTTAGCCACTGCAAAGGCCATCATAGATGTACAAGAGGAAAATCTCACATTGAGGCTAGATGATGAGGAAGTTGTATTTCAGGTTTTTATTTCTCTAAAGAACCTATCTAGCCAAGAATCTTATAACTTTGTGAGCACTATGGATGTTGCTTCTCCTTCTCCAATTTATGTGAAGCATAGAACTCAAAGAAGAAGGTCAAGAAGGAAGCAATCTAAGAAGAAGAAAAAAACAAAAGCTAAAACCATTCATTAATAAGCTTCCTAATTTAGAGCTTAAATTTTCTTCGTTTTATTTTAATCCTTATCCTAGGAATAATTTTTCTGATGTAAAAGGTGCTGGGGAGGCAAAGCTATTGTGGATACAACTACATATCAAAGGATTCACCTTTGAGACTCATGCCTTCTTCGCACCATGATTTATAGGGACGTCAGACTTGTGATGTTAAACAAGCACTCCCAAGAAGCAACTTGTGTCTTTTATTTTATTTTTATTTCCTTTTCTTATTTTAATTTCATTCTTGTTTATTTTTATTTATCTATTTTACTATGCTTAACTTCTGAGCTCTGATTACCAAGCACACCCATGCTTAAAGACATGCATGGTCGTGCATGAAGCCACAGTTGAGAAGATGAGATTTATGTTATAAGCATAGGCGTGCTCTTGGTTTTAGTATGGTCGTGCTTCTCTACTAGAGGCTGTTACGCTCAGACTTATTAGGGAATCTTCTTCCTCTCTATTTTAGTTGCCTTGTTTGCACACATTTAATTTTTTTTTTCAAATATTGAGGACAATGTTTTGCTTTTAAGTATGAGAAGTGGTTCCTAGTTATATGATTGTTATTGCATGTTCTTGAGTAAAGTGCCTATGTCATTTTTTTATGATAATTTGAAGTGTTTTCCCTTATGAAACCTAATTTTTTCAAATAAAAGAGTATGTTGAGTGATTATTATCGCCATTATATTTTCATTTGGAAACTAATAATTAGCTAAGTTCCTTACTTTTCTGTTGTACATTAAACTTTAATCCACAAATATGAGTTTTGAGCCTTAAAAGGGATTTTTTATTGTAATTTAATTAATTGTACCCCTTTGTAATTGTTTTGTGTGATTATCTGCTGAGAATTTGTACTCTAGAATTTGACTTGTAACTGACTTGAAACTACTCTTTTTTTATTGCATGTTTTAATATGATTGAGGTATATTAGGATTATTTTCCTTAGCCTTCAGCATGTTTGAGATAGAGATACAACAAATTGCTTATTTTGAGCCTTAGTGATCTTTCTTGGTCCCTTACATTAAATTTATAATATATTTTGATGACCTTGGGTTTATGAATGGAGCAATTGAGTTGTTGAATTATGTGATAAATTCTCCTCTATATCTCTCATGTGCAAAAAGAAAGGAAGTATGAAAAAAAAATGAAGAATAGTAAAAAGAAAAGAAAAAAGGTTATATATGAATGAAAGGAAAGGGGAGTATAGATACTAATTACATATAAAAATATAAAAAATTACTCCAAGAACTTCATTTATAGACTTAGGGGATATTTGTAACTTTTATAATTTATTATCCCTTTATATATCCCTTCCTTTCATATATCCCACCTCAATTATTATAACTCCTTAGCCACATTATAACCTGAAAAAGACCTTAAGATTTTTATTTGCATTTAATTTATTTAGTGGATAGTATGTTTATAGTCAAGTCTATGGTAGTACACTTTTCTTTAGAGGAACTGAGTGATATCTCATTTGGTCCCTTAGTGAGAAGGGAAAGTAAAATACCTTAATTTGATGTTTGAGTGAAAAGTATAGAAATATAAGATTTTAATTGGGAATCCTTTTGATTACTTATGCTGTGATATTACTTTTGTTGCTTATTTTATCTTATTTATCTTAGGTCCCTTGTTGGGGTATTATGTTTCAAGTTATTTTCTTAGCCAACACTTTACTTGAGGATAAGTAGAAAGATAAGTGTAGGGAAACTTTGAGCTCACCCCTGAAGAATTATTCATAAAAGTTCCTTTCTAATTGGTTCCATAAACAAACTGAATTAAGGGGTAATATGGTGAACCATGTAAAAGCATTTTAGTCAAATAACTTAGAAAATATTTCATTTTCAAATATTCGATGGTTGAATCACCATATTTAATTCAATACCTAGCCACATGCATATTTAATTATTGTCTAACCAAATTAGCAACTAAGGATATGTTTGGGAGGAGGTTTTTGGAGGGAAAGGGAGGGGGCATATTTTTAAATTTTAAATTAAAAAATTAAATATTATTTATTATGGGAAATATATTATTAATATATTAAATTTTGTTAATATATTAATTTATATCTTTTATTTTAAAGAGATATTAATTTTAAATATATTTAAAATATAAATTTATGCACTCTCCTCCAAAATCTTCCCTCCCAAACAACCCCTAAGTGACGTAACCCCCTCATTTTGTTTCACGTATGCTAGGACTTGGTTCAACATTTTGATTTTGACCTATTATCACAATGTTACCTTGACCATTATTCCTTCGAAGAACTTGTGGTGTCGCATTTTCCACTTGCCTAATTATGGGATCTAATTAAGGTATTCTTGTAGCATCAACCAATTGACCTATTTCTATTTATCACTAGAACTTGACCATTTTATGATTGCTCTTGTCCATTGTTGCCTTATTGCATGCAACGTGGTGTTTGTCATAGTTGAAAGAGTTGTCTATTAGTGAAACACATGTTCCTGTACCTATAGTATTTGTCAAAAAAAGTTGCAAACAACATGGTGTATGTTGTTTGGGCCATTGTAAGCTTTAACCTAAAGTGGTTCCTTAATTATTGTTGCTATCATTTGTGGCACAATTCCCTCCAGTACAATGGTCATTGGATGAACGCTCGTTGGTTGGGTAGTTATAGGTTTAGTGATCAATATGGTTATGTTTAAATGATGAGTTTGTGGAATCTTCAAGTTTTCACTTGATGAATTTTTGTGCCACTATCACTTCAGAAATTGGTTTCATGGTTCTAATGGTCCTCAAAGTAGGCTCAAGTCTATTTGATCCCATGCTAGACATAGTTGTATATCTACCACTTCTTATTATCATGCAAATGAGATACTTGTTGTAATTTTGTCATAAAAAAAACCCACCAAATGTGCCAATCTTATTTGGGTGAAATTTGAGTGATATAATTTTTTCACTTATCTAATACTATTATGGAGTTGGATTGATAGTCTCTCAAAGTGTTTAAAAGGTATCTTTATTTCCAAATTATCATCAACCATGAGATCAAGAAGTGAGGTAAGGAACAAAGAAAATTATGCTTGAAAACTTAAAAATGTGGTAAGATAAAAGTTATATCGAATTAAAGAAACTTGAAAGTAAATGTACCCAACGTTAATCAAGATCATGCGTATTTAATATTTATCATA